AAAGTGCTATTGTTCTAGGAAGACTAATCACTGATAATGTTCTTGTGGCATTTGAACTAAATCATTTTCTAAAGTGTAAATCTTGGGGAAAAGAAGGTCACATTTCCCTAAAGTTAGATATGAGTAAAGCATATGATAGAGTAGAGTAGATTTTTTTTTGGAGAGAATGATGGGAGCTTTGGGGTTTAGCAATGTGTGGGTTCAATTGGTTATGGAGTGTGTTAAATCGGTTTCATACTTGGTGCTTGTGAATAATGAGCAAATGGGTTATTTTCATCCTCAAAGGGTATCCAACAAGGAGACCCCTTATATTTTTCTTATATGTGCAGAAAGAATGTCAAATTTGCTTAAAGATGCGGAAACTCAGGTATTAATATGAAGAATCATTGTTGAAAGGGGATGCCCCAGAATCTCTCATCTATTTTTTGCAAATGGCAGCCTGCTATTTTTTAAGGCTACTTGTTCGGAGGCAAATGCTATGAAGGAATTACTACAAATCTATGAAGCGGCTTCGGGGCAACAAATTAGTTTGAAAAAATCCGCTTTGTTATGTTGTAAGAATGTTCCAGAGATTAGAATTGAAGAAATACAAGCTATTCTTGTTGTTCCTCGGGTTCAACAACATGAGAAGTACATTGGGTTGCCATCTATAGTGAGTAAATTGAAGAGGAAAGTTTTTGCTGGTATCAGGGAAAGAGTTTAGAAGAAGCTACAAGAGTGGAAGGAACAATTGTTATCAAGGGGAGGTAAAGAAGTGTTAATAAAAGCAATTGCTCAATCAATACCTACATATGTTGTGGGCTGCTTCAAGCTTCCCGATTATTTTTGTAGCAAGTTGGAGTCTTTGGCTTCTAATTTTTGGTGGGCCAAAAGGAGGGGAGAGGGAGATTCATTAGGTTAAATGGGTTGGCATGTGTAAAGGGAAGAAGATTGGTGGGATGGGTTTTAGAGACTTAAGGACTTTTAATATGGCAATGCAAGCAAAGCATGCATGGAGAATTCACCATGAGACGCATACTCTTCTGCACAAGGTTCTAAAAGCTAGGTATTTTCATCGACTACATTTATGAATGCCAAGATTGGATATAGACCTTCATATACACGAAGGAGTATTTTAGAATCAAGGACGATCATTGAAGCTGGGACGCATTGGAGGATTGGTGATGGGTCTAAAATTCATATATGGAAAGATAGATGGATTCCTTCCCCATATACTTTCTGAGTGGTCAGCCCAAAGAATTTTTAGGAGGAAGATGCAATGGTTAGTGAGCTTATTGATCTAGATACACATATTTGGAAAACAAATTTGACTGATGTTGTCTTCTTAGAGCATGAAGCAGAGGTTATTAAAACGATCCCCTTGGGTGTGTTGCCTATGGAAGATAAGTTAATTTGGCATTATAATGCTAATAGCAAATTCTCAGTCCGGAGTGCGTACCATTTAGCATATGAGAAGAATTTATTCCATTCGGGTTGTACAAGTGCTAATTCATCATCAAATTTGGGGGGTAATTGGGAGGCTTTATGGAATCAAAATGTTCTCAGCAAAGTTAAAATTTTTGCATGAAGGATGATCTTAAATGATCTTCCTACTAACGAAAATTTGTGGCGTAGAAAAATTAGACTGAATGGGGTATGTTGTGTATGTGGGAAGGTTGTTGAAATTATGATACATATCATTAAAGAATGTCCGTAGGCGAGAAGAATTTATTCCATTCAGGTTGTACAAGTGCTAGTTCGTCATCAAATTTGGGGGCTTTATGGAATCAAAATGTTCCCAGCAAAGTTAAAATTTTTGCAAGAAGGATGATCTTAAATGCTCTTCCTACTAACGAAAATTTGTGGCGTAGAAAAATTAGACCGAATGGGGTATGTTGTGTATGTGAGAAGGTTGTTGAAACTATGATACATATCATTAAAGAATGTCCATAGGCAAGACATGTGTGGAATGTGAGTCCTCTTTTTCGTATAATAAATCGAGTTACTGGGAACATTGTCGATTGGTTTTGGGAAATTATTTTGTAGCTTAAGCCAAAACTTGGTGCAATTTTCTTGGTTTTGTGTTGGTATATTTGGCATAACATGAATGAGGTTCTCTTCCAGCAGAGGCGAAATGACTCGGTGGTGTTTTATCATATGGCAATGGACTTTATTTCACAATACGAGCAAGTTTGGGATTCTGGCCGAGAAGGTGCACCAAAACTTGGGTTCCTCCTAGATTTGGATCCCTTAAGGTTAACTTCAATGGGGCAGTGTTTGACATACAGGGTGCTATTGGGGTAGGGGTGGTTATTCGCAATGAATTTGGGTCATTCATCACTGAGATGTCTAAGAAGTTAATTGGTTTTGGGAGAAGCGCAAACTACGGAAACTATGGCTACAAGGGAAGTTATGTTTTTTGCTAGGCAAATTGGGTGTGATGAGATTGTGTTGGATCAAAAAAAAATTGAAATTGTTCTGGAAGGGAATTCTTTTGCAATCATGAAGAGGATTGGCGATAATTCTAAAAAATTTTCTCCTTTTGGCGCTATTATTACAGATGTGCAGTAGTTTCTTTGTTTGTTTATTTTTTATTTTTTGTCCATTGTTAGACGATCAGGAAATCGTGTGGCTCATCAACCGGCTCGAAAGGCCAGTTTAGAAATATTGATGTCTGGGAAGAGATGGCACCAGATTTTCTGATACCATCTCTTATCTCAAATTTAGTTTCTTAATAAAAATTCTATCATTTCGATTAAAAAAAATAGGCAAATTCAAAAATCAACAATAGTAAGGATTTGCATATACTTATATCCGATCCGATTGTGATGCAATCCAAATTATTTATATATTTTTGTATGAATATTAAGGAAATTAAGTGATTATTTAAAAAATTTAGGTATAATTTGTTAAGATTTAGTTAATTAAGTTATTCAGAACGGATTCCATATTGTTAATGAATTCGAATATGGACCATGAAAATAAAATTTGTTGAATTATCAAATCGAACTTTTGAAATCAGAATCGGATTCAAGTCAACTAAAATTTGATCCAAACTCGATCTGTTGACATGTCTAATAATAACTTTGTTGATGGCTACTTAGGTTGGATTATTCTTTCTAGAGTATGTGTTTAATATGTACTTAGAATAATTGAAAATCAAGAAAATGATACATGGAAATTGTATACATGCCCTAGCAATTCTGCTTTATGGAATTAGGGAAATTGTCACGTATGATTCTCAAAGCAATTATATTTTTCTTTGGTTTCATGTGCGACGCACGTGGTGTGTTGCTAATCTCTATAAGAAACATAATCCAATTATTTCCTCTCTTTTTTTCTTTCATTTTCGGGTATTTTTCCACGAACAACTTCAAACAAGCAAGTAGTAGTGTCAATGTGTCATTATCAATTTCAACTAATCCAACGCAAAACTTTTAAACGAGCCTTTTCAATGAACAATACGATCGAGTTCCACATCCTATCCCTTTGAATTTTCACCCCCAAGGACATGTGTAATTAGCCCAATATTTTTCATTGAATTGTTACTTGACCCATCAGCAGCATGTAGGTCTGTCAATGAATCGAACTTTTGAAATCAGAATCAGATTCAGGTCAACTAAAATTCGATCCAAACTCGATCTGTTGACATGTCTAATAATAACTTTGTTGATGGCTACTTAGGTTGGATTATTCTTTCTAGAGTATGTGTTTAATATATACTTAGAATAATTGAAAATCAAGAAAATGATACATGGAAATTGTATACATGCCCTAGCAATTCTGCTTTATGGAATTAGGGAAATTGTCACGTATGATTTTCAAAGCAATTATATTTTTCTTTGGTTTCATGTGCAACGCACATGGTGTGTTGCTAATCTCTATAAGAAACATAATCCAATTTCTTTCTCTCTCTTTTTCTTTCATTTTCGGGTATTTTTCCTCGAACAACTTCAAACAAGCAAGTGGTAGTGTCAATGTGTCATTATCAATTTTAACTAATCCAATGCAAAACTTTTAGACGAACCTTTTCAATGATCAATACGATCGAGTTCCACATCCTATCCCTTTGAATTTTCACCCCCAAGGACATGTGTAATTAGGCCAATATTTTTCATTGAATTGTTCCTTGACCCATCAGCAGCATGTAAGTCTGTCAATAAATCGAATTCTGATCTGAATTCGATTAATCGGATATGAATTAATATTTTTTATCAATAATCCAAATTAGAATCTGATATCTTATATTTCACGGATTCGAATTTGGATAATCTCTGATCTGATCCAAATAAATATTAAAAAAATTAAGTAATTATTTAAAAACTGTTAGTTGAAATTTAGGCATAATTTATTGAAATTTAGTTAATTAAGTTATTTGGATCGAATTTTAAATTGTTAATGAATTTGAATATGGAGCATGAATATAAAATCTGTTGAATTATCAGACCAGATTTGATTTAGACTTTTGAAATAGAATTTTAATTCAGATCAGTTAAAATTCGATCCAAACCAAATTCATTGACAGACCTGCCAACATGTGAACGACATAATGTTGGGCTTGTATTAATATGTTTCAAAACATTAAGTTAATCGGCCCTACACTTTTATGTTGTTTTAAAACATGTAGATTTGATTTTGGGTTTTTGCTTTTATTTCCCTTTGGCCCCATCTCCCATTTTGTACAATGACGAAGCTATGCTTGGCCCAAAAGGAGCCAGGACCCCCTCAAGTTTTTTTAAATTATTTTTTTTTACCTCTAAAATTTTTAAAGTTTTACTTTAACCTTAAAATTCTGTTTTTAATTTTACTTTAACGGCCTCTCAAGTTATCAAAGTTATAATTTAAATCCTTAATTTGACAAGTTTAGATTAATTTTTTCAATTTTATTGAAACAAGTCTTTCTCAAGACTGCTAAGAATGTTGTTTTCGAGTCTATTTGTTCAAATCACAAATCAATCATGGCAGCAAATGCAAACAAATACAAACTACGTATACAACCAGGATAAGAATTTCTAGAGGTTCAATATTTGCTCTTGAGCAAAGACAACTAGTCGAACTCAATGATCATTATCTCTTATTTTCTGAACTCAATGATCATTATCCTTTATTGTACAATACGTTTCAAAATTGTACAGACCAAAGAGGATAGAAGGCTACCAAGTTATGTATCTTTTCCTACCTTGGAGTGACAGAAGGCTAATGCAGTAAGCTACCCAAGAGATCTTCCTGCCATTTCCACAAGAAATCACCTTGGAATTCCAATAATAAACTCAAATCAAGCCTAAAAATTACACATTAGGTTTCAGCATTGGCCATCTTCCACGTTTCATTAGATATAAAAAAGACTATGTTCTAGTCAAGTCTCATATATGTATAGTTGTCATGTGTGCATATTTGCAATAGTGATCACACATCTTGTAAAACACTGTCATTTCTACACTCTCTCAATATAACATATCATGAATGGAAAATGGACAAATTTCAGCATTGTCCTCGATGAATATATAGGATCCTGCATGTCTTCACTCCTCTGCAGAGCTTCTCAACTGATGAACTTCAGGGGCCTCATCATCACATTGTCTTCATGATCCAAAATCTGGAATTTGTATTGAATGGCCATGAAGGGGAAAAAAAAACATGTTAGAACTAAAAATGATAATAAAAGTTAATCAGAACTCTGAGTCTGATTAATATCTTGAAATGATTACCCGACCTTCGGATGAAGCCTTGTTGCCCCTTGTAAGATATGAGTAATGTTACTTGAACTAATTTTACTCTACTTGTTGATCTGATCTACTGTTATCGTTAATTTTGCAATGAGACCCATATTCGAAGGGTTACCGGCAATAGTGGATTTAGTCAGAAAATTTAGTTTTAATAATGTCATTGAATTTGGTACAATTTAAGCAAGTTGCTTATTTGTTCAAAACACCTAAGTTTTAAATTTATTATTCTAGTTTCATGGTTATTCAACAAAATCAAAATGTGATGAAAATATGACAAAGATCGCATTGAGTCGAAGTTATCGTCCCTTGTGCTCCATTGGGGAGGGATGAGAGGAATAGGGAAAAAAAAAATTAAGAGTAGAAAAGCTATACTTTCTATTCTCGCAGAAAATTACTTTCTTTCCTACTTCGTGTTTGTAGGAGGGTTGGAAAACGTAAAAGATGTATTTTTTAATGGGTTACAAGAAAGACAAATCTTTTCATATTTTTTTTTTCATTCGTCTAATTTTCTATATTTCAACTTTTTTTTTATTGTTTTCACTTTGTCATCATACGGACTGAATGAGTACTGTGGCCTAGATAGGAGTGACGAAATGAAACAAAAGTTTATGGGCACAGAGAAGGCAAAAGATTAGTCAAATGGAGTAAGACTGAAGGCATTTGGAATTTTGTAGACTGGCCACCCCTATAAGGCAGGCAAGAAGACAAATTTGAGAAGCTTTTTCCCATATCAATGGCCTGTGATAGAATTGGAGGTTCTCAATTGGCATTAGGTAATGTCTCATTCTCTTCGTTTTCTAAATTTCATTTCTTTTTTATAGTTCAATAGTTAAGAATATCCAAACCAACTTACGTTCGCTTCAACTAATTCATTTATCGGTTCAGTTAAAGACAAGTTATATACGACAATATTAGAAAATCTATTATGATTTGAATTTAAAATATTATTAAAATTTAAATTCAAAACATCTAAATTTACTGTTTACTCTTAGAGTTAGATCAACTCTTGTTATGAATGTATGTAATAAAGGTAATGTGTAGAAGAAACAATGAACTTACGTGACAATGGTAGACATAGCCGGGCTCTGCTGTTGCATCAAATTGGTAGGATGCATTTGAATGTATGTAAGAAAACCTCACTAGTATCTTTGTAACGTATCCGGGCATCATTTTGTACACGTTCTTCCATCCCTTCTCATGGGCCAGCACCTCCGTCTTGTTGCCACGTGCATACTTGCTTATTTGGCACCTGATCGCATCGTTGAACTTCGTCATGCACGCTGTAAACACGTCTTTGTTGACCAATTCGGTCTGATCTAACACCACAAATAGACCCAAATGGATGTGTAGAGGGTGATTATCCTCCGTTAGATTGATCACATTCCAAACTTCGGAGGACCCCACCTTCGGTGTCTCGGTCACTGGTTTTTCGAATGACATTCCGTTTAGATACAAATGCGTAGGCTCACCGGTGGGGCTGGTATACTCGTACATAGCGATGTACCGTGTGAGCGAAGCACTAGATACATCGGGGGATGGGTATTCTAGTAATTTACGAGGCACCCTTGACTTGTCATTCACATGATGTGGTTCGACGATGAATTTCATGACTTTGCCATTGGCTTTGTTGACTGGGTCTCCAGTTGGGAAGGGATAAGGTGCATCATTGGCTAGAATAGCCGAATCAGACTTTGACTTTGAAAAGTCAACGATCACATCGGCTATCTCAGACGGGGCCATGAGGATCTCATCGATTATCACGGGCCGTTCGTGATATGCCGAGTCGGACCCCACATGGATGAAATCTAGACCGTTGGTGAAGAAGAATTTGAAGAACCTTGCATTGCTTGCATTGATGATACGAAAACGGTACTTTCTACGCTTCACGATCATGTGGGGCCATGCTTTTCCGTTTACTATGACAGCATCACCAAAGTATTCAGGCTGCCACTGTGGGTGAATTGAGGGATTGTTTCCTGTGGAATTCATATATATGGAACCATCTGTACGAAAGCTACGATCAAAAATGACCAATGGTCGTTCAAATTCATCGCCATGGGGTAAGCCAAGTGGTGCCTCGACATTGGGTTGGCGAATTATGTAGGCCCCACTCAAACCAGCTAAAATGTTGACTCTAGTCAGTCCCATGGCATGATCATGATACCACATTGTTCCCGGTTGTTGAAAGTTGTGATAATGGTACATTTTCTTGCTCCAAGTCCGCCCTCGTTCTTTGAATCCAACGGTGAACCATGATTCCGCGTGTCCATCACTCTCGGCCTCACCAATGGCACCATGGAGGTGCACCACCGTAGGAATACCCTTCTTGGTGGACGGTATTGCAGTTGGGATAGTCGGGTCCCAAGGTAGTATGTGCTTTGAAGGGAGATGATTTTGCCACGTCACATAAGTGTCAACACCATTGATGGCCTCAATCGTTGGACCAGGAATTGTTGCGGTGTTCTTGGATGTACCATAGGCAAATACCGGAGTTAAAGGGAGATCCCTATGAAATTTCTGCAAACAAAGAGCGAAAAAAAAAAAACAAAAAAACTGTTAGACAATATTATATTACTTAGTTTATACAATATGTTTTTTTAATATTACATTGATGAGAAATGTAATAATTATTAAAAATAAATAAATAAATTTTGATTAACATGAGTACCATCACAATTTGCAGCGGGACCCGCTCTAGTATTAGAAGCGTAAAATTTTCTAGTCTGGGGAAGGTTGCAACTAGAATTATATTGTATTGCTAATTCAATATGTCGCATATAATTGTTCACATTGCATTCAGATTTCGTAATGTACAAAAGATAGTGAGTCGAGTGACAGCTAACCTATGACCAAGAAAATCTATGTACGACGTTAACCATATAATGATATAAACGTAAACATCATAAGGGATAAAAAAAAATAATAATACAGAACAAAACTGTCAATTTACTTGAACTCTTCAACAGAGTGCAAGTCAATAATTTTTGATACATCACACTATTTAATTAGAAAATTTTGGGGTGTTACAATTATTGTATACGCAATCCCGAGGATCATTCCAACAGTAATGTGTGAAATTACTACAAATATTTATGTGTCAATAATTTTTTACGTATAACACTATTTAATTAAAAAAATTTGGAGTATTACAATTGTCGTAAACGCGATCCCAGGGATCATTCCAACGGCAACGCATGTTTTCTAGGGTTTGGTCATACCCAAGCTGGATATTCCCTGACAGTATTGAATTGTAAATGTGATTTAATATTCTTGAACAATTAAAAAAAAAAAGGGTAAAATTGTCCTATGGCATTGGATAGAATGGGCAAGTCATTTCGGTGGATGGTGAAAATTTGTTGTTTTCTATGAAAATATCTTTGCCCCCGTCCCCTTTTTTTTTCAATAGCAAAAAAAAAGAAAAAAATTTGGATCACATAATTAAAAAAATAGAGTTTATCTATGTGAATCAATCTCAGATGTCTGCCAAAAAATTATTAGCGTCTCTTGTAACACGCCAATCACTTGAAGATTTATTTTACAAAATAGCTTAAAGATTTCTTATAATTTAAAAGTAACATCAACATTCCAATTATCAATTATATGATAAAGTAACCTAAACTCCTAATGTTGTGATATGGTAGGTAATAAGGTCCCAATAAAAAAAAATGTAAGATCGTTATTAAATCAATTTATTAAATTTCAATAACATTATTCTTCGAGCGAAGTAAGAGCATCCTCAAAATCCTCTAATGTCTTGAAAACTATATCAACTTTAAACCTCAAAAGGGCATTTGTATGGCTACTGCCAGAGTGCCTCTGAATCTAACAGTACCACAAAAACTCAATAAAGAGATTGCTTTTTCTTTTGAGCAATCATGACCCAGAAAGCATCTAAACTCTAAACATAGAAAGAGTGGGAAAAGAAGAAAAGAGAGAAGTTACCCATTTCTTGTGGTACATCCCAATCGTCAGTGACTTGGACACTGCAACGCCATTGACGAACTCGAAGCCAGGAAGCCTGGGCATATCTGGAAGTTCATCCACAAACATTTCCAACTTGGTTGGATTTATTAGATTGTCTTGAGCCCATGTGGTGATGAACAGTCCACAGAAAGCTAAAGAAATGAGCTTTGACAACAAACTCTCCATCTTTTGCTTGGAGAGAGAGAGAATTGGGTAGAAAAAGAGAGAGCTGTGTAGGATAAAGTCTAGGTTTGGTACCCCTTAACACGAGAGAGAGAGAGAGGTGTTTGAGTGGCTGTTTTTGTATTTGATTAAAGATATTTATGCTATCAAAGAGAGTAAGTGGTGCGAGTATGAAAAGATGAGTACCGTGACTTGTCTTCCATTGGGTGGGCTTCGATGTCTCCGAAAAGTGTTGAATTTAGAGACTTTTTTCGATTATTATGACACATTTTGTCTGTTTCTTTGATTTTTTTTTCACTCTTTCTTTCCTTCATCCACTACCTACAACATCCCCCCATTTGCAGCCTCTACTTTCAAAGTTTCAATTGTGTTTTATTTTTTGGGATAAGTTCAAAGTTTCAGTTGTTAATAGAAGAGATAATTGCTATTTTCAAAAAGGGTTTGCTCCAAATTAAATGATATGATATGATAAAAGGGAACGACTTAATGGTATATCATTTATTATAAATTCAAGTAAGATTTACTATTTATATGAGATCTCTTATTCAGACACAACGGACAATTTATTATTCAGTGAATTGAATGAAAATATAATGAAAAAGATTTGGATCGCGTGAATAGATGAGGACGGATGAGTCCACATATTAAAGTATTAGTCGATACCAATAAGAGTCAATTGAATCATAATTAATTAGGTATCTTTTGAGACGATACCATTAAACAATACGTATAAACTTCAAATCTCACATGACTCGACCCAGTCGTACGAGTTGTATCCAAGTCGTTGAGTTATCGTCACAGAATCGATCGATACAATTCCACGACGTCGCGGTATAACCTGAATCTCTCATCATGTTCAATATTTTTTTTAGATCGTACCGTCCAATACTCTGATACAACATTATGCCCGATATATCTTAAAGCTTTCCAAGTCGATGATCAACTTGGATGCTGATTGTTATTCCTAACAACTAAAACTTCTATTAATTTAATTTAGAAATAGATAGCAATAATTGCTACACAGAGTAAGGGTGCAGTGATGATTATTATAAATGATATGATATTAATGACATTTTATCATTAAAATACAATAATGTTTGTGAGCCCATATGTTTTAAGTTCTTCTCCAATTGAAAAAATAATTTAAAGATCCTCTAATTTTTTATTATTTTTTTTTGTGAATGGTGAATATTTATCCACAACAAACCCAATGTATATCAAATTTTGAAATTCAAGATATATTTAGAATAAAGTAGAATTTGTTGACATTGCCAGATTCTTACGGTCAAAAAAATATTAAAGAATCTTATAATTACTAAAAAATTACAGAGGAGTCGAACCCTTTTTAGTGTAGGAAATGTCACCTATTGCATTAATAGAAAAATCATATCTACAAGCAACCGAAAGGTATTGTATTTTGTATCCAAATGCCATATTTGTGTATGAACTAGGGGGGTTTGTTCCAATTACCACATTAAATGCATATCACATGTGAAATTTACAAGATTGTAGTTACTTGTATTGTACATGATATGAGACGAATTAGTCAGATATGTTATGGCCATATACGCTAAGTAGTTAGAGTTGAATATGATACAAATAAATAAAAAATAATCAGGCACGTTAACTCCACACAAATATCATACAAAAAGCCATATTCATTGGCAAGCCAAAGGTGTTGATTATATATCACATATGAAAACTGTAAGGATTAATCCGTACCGGAATATCTTCACTCCATCGAAGGATTCTGACTGATCTGGATCCTTTCCTAAGGCAATTCAGTAGTATTTACCTCTCAGTGCCCATAAGGATCTCGTCCCACATCGACTGAGAGTGATCAAGTGGCTAGTGGGTACTTCATCCATATGAAGCGTAGACTTATATGCGTGCGCCGGGGGGGGGGGGGGGGAAGACGACTCTCAGTCGATGTGGGACGAGATCCTTATGGGCACTAAGAGATAAAGGCTATTGGATTGTCCTAGGATTAATCCCTTACAAAAATTATAATATTATAATAGGATATGTTGACAAGAAATGAACATGATACGAATTCGTCACACATGATTAGGGTTATATGCACCAATTAATTAAGGTTGAACATGATACGACTAAGTGAGAACTAGTTAGACATTAACTCAACCAGAACATGATACGAATTAGTTAGAGTTGACTGAATCTCGCCATAAGTCTGAAAATAATATGTACCGCTAACATGGAAAATAAATAAATTGGATTAATCTCAAACACATATTACTCGATTTTTATACAATCAGCCCATTATACCAAGAGAATTTCTGATTTTCTTTATATTTCCTTATTTATTCATCTTGTAAGAATGAATTTTAACTTAATAGAAAACTTGTGTTAGTGGGTTGGTTGGTATAAAAGGTCATCTTTATTTCTAATTACAGGGTTATGTGTAAAGACAAATATGTGAAAGAATAAATAAATACCTAGCACTAATCAGATCATCTGATACAATTAGATAAACAAATGAATTTAAGCTCAACTAGTAGTCGATATAAATTTAAAATATTAGGACTCGAAAACGATATAATATGACTCGATTGCCATCTTGAGTGCTTGAGTAATCCTTCTAGCTGGTATATATTTTGTTCAATGCATTAACACCTGAAACTGGCTAGCTTGGCTCACTGCAAGTGATGCAATCGCTACACTTTCTAAAGTATGAAATTAAAAAGAGAGTGTGTGTGCGTGTGTCATTCCAAGTGAAAAGCTGGTCAAAGAAGAATTATAGAATGAGAGCGATGGGCACTGGAACAAGTCACATTCTTTTGAAATAGATGTAATAGAGACTCTCTGTCCCACTGCTTGTACAATTCTTAAATAATTCCAATTCAAACAACTGTCTCGAATGGATGCTTTAAAAAATTCGTGGTGTGCATTTTGTATGTTGGGTTTTTTAGGTCGTGCGACCCAGCTGTTTATGTGCTACCTGTGGGCGCAACGACACTCAAAAGTATCACTCAACGACTTGTATTAGGTTTGCGTTTTGTTTCATGATGCCTCCTTTAGTGGTGCCATTGAAAAACACTAATGAACAACGAAGATACTTCTATGGACTTTTGTTTCACAAGGCCACCAAAAATCTAATTGAGTAGCATCATTGAAAAATGTCAATAAACGAGGCATCTCGTTTCAAAATACCATCAAAAACCAATTTAATTTGACGTCATGCAATTATTAAACAGAATTCGATTTACGGGAAGTCATGCGGTTATTAAGCAAAGTTTGATTTATAGGATAAACTAGTTTGTTCTGTTTGGTTTTGGTGGTGCTGTAGTAACAGGTTGCAATTTCATATTAGTAGTTATAGCTCAAACTGAATATTCCACATTAGGGGACCCTCATGGTCATGCCTAAGAAATTACTACTTATAGATCACCCTTCTTTGTTTTCACGTTCAGAAAATAAATAAAAGAAGGTAATATTAGTGTAGGAAGAGACGTGTTACATTAACAGCCAAGCCAAATTTACAAGCAACCGAAAGGTGTTGAATTTTGTATCCAAATGCCATATTTGGGTTTCGATCTAAGGGGGTTTGTTTCAATGTTTTGAACTAGTCAGGCGTGGATAATTAAAAATCGCATCAATTGATGCATTAAACGCATACCGCATGTAAAAACTACGAAATATTAAAATTGTACGATGATACGAACATTACGAATTAGTTAAACACGTTGTGGCTACATGGGTTCACTAATTAACTAGAATTAGTCAAACACGTTGTGGCTACATGGGTTTACTAATTAACTAGAGTTGAACAGGGTATGAATAAGCGAAAACTTTTCAGACATGTCAACTCCTTAAGAACATGATACAAATTGTTTTTTCTTTTCGGACATCAATACGAATTAGTTAGCCTCTAGTACAAGTTCCAAAATAATACAACTTACTAAAATGGATAATAAATAAGTATGGTTTGTGTGAAACCACGTATTACACGATTTTCATATGATCAAACCATTTAGTTGGTATAATCTGCAGAAAATTTTTGAGATTTTTATTTTTGCCAAACTCTAGATCTTGAATTGTGTATACAAGTCTTTATAATAATTGAAGGACTTGTTTGTTTGGTTTCACAAATATCTTGACCAACTAAATTTTAACTTTATAGAAGACTTATAGTTGATTGGTTTGGTTGGTATCCAAGGTAGTCCCAATCTTAATTATAGATTTCTAATTCACGGGTTATGCACAAAAACCTAAATACATCATCATGATTAGTAAATTAGTAGTGTTGATCATGATTAGTAAATTAGTAATAGTATTAGACAAATAGACTAAATTTGAATCGATTAGTATACAATCTAAACACAATTTAACTTGATTATCACCTGAAATTTGTTTCGAGTGTTTTTGGATGCCTTATAGCAGGTATGTTGTACAAAGACCTGCCTCAATACAAGTGATGCAATCAACGCACTTTCTCCAGTATGAGATTAAAGTGAGTGTGTGTGTGTGTCTGTGTGTGTTTTGCTCATTCTAAGTGAAAAGCTGGTGAGATAATGAGACCGATGCGCACTTAGAACAAGTCCCAATCTTCTGAAATAGATGTCAAAGAGCCTGTTGGCCCACTGCTTGTAGAATTCACAAATAATTCAAATTCAAACATGTCTCTTGGAATGGTTAATTTAAGTTGTAATATGAACAAATTGTAAATTTAAATTTCTTGAATTTGAATCTTGGTGATTCTTTGGGATCAAACTATAGGGGATTTATTCCTCATGAATACCCTAATATCAGCATGAATGGTCTATCTTTGATCAGACCTAAGAAGGGATTAGTCGATATGTGCATAAATTAGTCTGATTCAACAAAAAATTGTCGTCAACATAAAATTCAGGTCAGCTAATATACCTCTTATTTCAATGCCTAAGGTGGAAATTAAAGTATGCAATTGAAAATATTGGTTTATTGGCATCCTGTTGTCTAGATAAATAGTCATGAAAACTCTTATTTAGTGGTGTTGATCAACATAAAATGCCACTAAACCCGGCAAGCTAGCAAGGGAACTGTCTCTTTCCATCTTTCATCTCATCACAACACAAATTGATATAATTTGGGGTTTTTATGTCATGCGACCCCGTTGTTCATGTGTGACCTGGTGCCAACGCCTCTTCTTTGTTCATTGAACTCTGATTCAATCGCATTGCTGAGATA